GAGGGGGGGGCGGCGGGGGGGGGGGGGGCGGGGAGCTCAGCTCTACCACCCGACCTTTCAGCCCCACCACCGGTGCTAGCATCACCAACTGAATCCTTTCACAAGCCCTACTACCCCACAGACCTCAGTAACCTGAGCCCTACCACAGGATATTTAAGCGTTGCTGAGCCCTACCATCGCCAAAACTCTGGTTACACCGCTAATGAACAACCTAACAAATTGAATATTTGAAAATTCGAAGCAACTTCTATTCATTTAACACAACCCATTCTTTATCGAGTTTCATAGAAAACATTGTCTTTAAGGTTTAGTAGAGTAAGAATCAAGAGGAAGAGATTGACTGTACAAACAGATAAATAAAACGACTTGATGATCAGAAAAGAAACATGTGATAAGAAAGCACGAAGATACAATAATGTATGTATCAACCAAATATTTTTTTTCCTTTCATTCCTCGCGGGTCTCGCGACTTGACGAAGCAAACAACGAATAAGTAGATGAGATAAAAACAAATGTTCATTTTCATGACACCAGCTGACACTGAATCTATTTGATCAGCTGATTTGCATACCAGAGACCGAAAACGAGTCGAGTACTCGACCAATCGACTTGACTCGACATTTAGTCGAGTCGAGTCGAATCGAGTCCAGTGAAACCTGCTTCCGAGTCGAGTCGAATCGAGTCCAATGAAATGAACTTCCGGGTCGAGTCGAGTCGAGTCGAGTTTGATTCGAGAGACTCGACTTTTTAGAAATTTTTTTTGTGATTCTTTTTGTTCTCTCTCGGCAAAAATGTTCGTTTGTTTTGGCTTTATTAAAACAGCACAATATTAGATCATCACAATGAATTCGTCAGACAGTCAGCGCCAATGGTGAAACAACAATGAACCGGCAGCGTTGAATGGACTGAAATAAATAGCGAACAATAATTTTCATTGTATTCACTGTATTATTGTCTATACATATCTTAATAGACGATATTGTATTAATCAATGGTGAGCCTATATAAACAATCTATATATAGCGTGTGGCAGAATTATTCTAATTTTTTTCATCTCACGGACTATCGCTCATTGAACATCTTTTAACAAAAAAACTACAATCATCCTTGTTTTGAAAATGTCAATCGATCTAACCAACGACGATTCGACACAACGTTCGTCTGAAGCATTCTCATCTGTTTTACGTCCTACGGTGGTATCACCTTCAGTTGCTCGTGAGACCTACACATCTGCCAGCATCAAACAACTGCTTATTCGCGACAAGAACCACTACAAGGTTTTGTCGAACCCCAATAAACGTGCAACTGCGGCCTGCTGAGCTAAATTTGGTTTCCCAGGTGTCAGAAAAGATAATGAAGAAAATGGAGAATTTAGCATTATCAGGGGTTTTGCAAGTTGCAACATCTGTTTCGATACTTATCTTTTCAACGATTCTAGCACTATTAATTTAAACAACCATCGATGCTCACTAGATGAGCGACAAAGTCGACTCTCATTTAATAGTTCATCAAGTCCTGTTCGTAATGCCATTGGCGCCAAAATAATTTCCAAGAATAAAGACAATTTAAAAAAATTATGTGCTAGCTAGATGGCTAGTTCCATGCGACAATTTTCCATCGTAACAGATCATGGCTTTACACATATTTTGCAAGAATGTTTGACAATAGGTAAGTCTATGAAGTTCTTGTATTTGAATGATCGATTTCCTTTTCTCAACTAGGTCGTGAATTTCGGGCACAAGGTGAATTATTAATTGACGATCTTCTTCCATCTGATCGAACTGTTCGCAACGAAGTCGACCGTGCTGCCGAACAAGGACGTAATATTCTTAAAACTAAATTAATCGCTGCAGTTGAAGATTATCGTTTATCGATTAGCCCTGATATTTGGTCCGACAGACATCGACATATTTCATACTTAGGTGCTTCTGTTCATTTTGTTGATGAGAATGGGTTTTTCCATTGTTTCGATCTTTTCTGCACCGAGTTCAAATGGAAGAAGAAAACAGCTGCTAATGTGTTGAAGGCAATATATTGGTTTCTAATGTCAATCAATAATTTTTCGCTTTTCTTTTAGATTATTAAAGATGAATTAGCTATTTTTGGTTTGACAGAACTTATGGACAAAATTACATTCATAACTGACAGAGGTTCGAATTTTATAAAGGCATTGATAGCCTTCCACGTACTCCTCTGTGTCGCCCATCGACTGAATAACATATTTAAAAAATTTTTTTACAAGAAACAAAGAAGAAGCAAAAGAATATTTCTCCTGCGAAACTCTTATCTATATCTACTAGCGTCCGTCGAACTGAATTAACTCCAACAAAAACTGAAACGACAACCATCACAACACGAACTCTTACTCAAGCTTCACCAGAATTATCAGACGAAGAGGAAGAATTAAGAAATGCTGCTGAAACAGACGATTCATCAGACGAAGAGACCGACACCGATGATGAGGAAGTCGATTATGCTGCCGCCACAGCTGATGATATACCAGTGTCTGCAAAAGCCATTCTTGACGTAATTAAAAATTGTAAATCACTTGTGAAATATGTTAAAAAGGTAAGACGCTTATTATGACTTAAACACTTTAATGGTTCCGTTTTTCAGGCAAATCTCAATCGTCAATTACAACTAGAACGTGAGAAGCAGAACAACATCGAACAAATCAATGATGACAGTTCACCATCAACAACGAACAATTCTACTAATGCTGCTACACTACACCAGTGTTCTGTCGTTCGCTGGCTGTCCTTGTGCGATTTGTTGAAAAGCATAAAAAAAGCAGAGTCCGTTCTTTTTCAAGTATTAAAAGATCGTCATCAGAAGCAACGATTGCAAAATGTAAACTTTGATCTCGTCGAAAAGCTCATTCCTTTCCTCGAACCGTAAGTAATTAATTGACTCTTAATCTAATAAATAATAATTCTATTTTTATCAACAAAAGCTTATGAATGTATATGCGCTATTATTTCCTAATTTTTTTTCAGATGGAGAAATGTACTCAACGAAGTTCAAATCAGAACTGCTCCTTCTCTCTATTGTGTTTTACCATGTATTACTTATCTTCGAGAACAAATGATCAATGGGGAGAAAAAAGAAAAAGGAGGTAAAATAAATGTTCTTGTGTTTATTTCCATCTAAATTATTTTTTAAGGAATCAAATTCTTCTACAAACGTGCAGTGCAGTTACTTGATAAAATGTTCACCATGGAAGACGATTATATTCGAGCTTCCTTTTTACATCCTAATTATAAACAATTGCGTGGAGCAACGAAAGAACAAATCGAATCTTGTTATAATTTTTGTCGAGATTTCATTTTACCTTCTAACACGATGAATGATTCGATTAGAACCGATGAAAACATTATTCAACCATCTGCAAAGAAGCTCAAGTTCATGACACAATTAATGGATAAGAAGGAAACAGCACCAGCATCTGCTGATGAGATTGATCATTATATTGCACTTACAGTGGAAGAAGAATATACAGATCCTCTGGTCTTTTGCCGACAAGAACGTAATCAATTGACTTTTCCAACAT